TTAACTCTTGTTTTCATTGCCTTCCGATATTTACAAAAAAGCACCCAAGCCGAGAAGGGAGCCTGAGCTCAACAACAAGCAAGATTCGCAGAAGCCACCTCCTGCTGCAGCACCTGACCATAAGAATCCAAAAGCAGACGAGAATGGCTTGTTTTTATCCACCTCACTGCGCCCAGGGGGATCCAGGTTTCAATATGTCCAGCTGAAGTAGAACGTTTATCGTGCTGTCATACCGCGTGGCTCTAAACGCCACTCCATCGGCCCTTTTGACACCGAGGTAGAAGCTGCACAAGCCGTCAAAGACTTCCTTCTGAAATGGGAATCCGGTGAAGCACCAGTTACACGAGGCTCGAAGCGTGAAGACAAGCACTCCAAACACATCCAGAACGAGCTCGACAAACTCAATAATACTGCCAAATCAGAAGGACGGCATCAAATCCTCGACGTCAACAAGCCCACATGTTCCTTTTGCAACAAATCAGTGCAGCGATACCACATTCTGACTTTTGTCTCCAGACAATGCAGTAACATTTCCGACAGAGCAGATGCTGCAGGATCCTATCAGAGCCGCTACTCTTTCTAATACCAGACAAACAATCCTTGACGATGACATCAAAATTCACAATCGCTCAGCGCGAGCGGAGAACAAACACTTCATTATCAATCCTAGCAATCCTACATGCAAGTGGTGCAAGAAGCAAGTTGCCAGAAGCAGGGCTCGCTGTTTCATGAAGCAGCATTGCAAGACATCCTCTATTTAATTGCCCCTACGGCGCTGGCGGTAACCCCTCGTTTGGTTCCGACAGCATACCAAAGCAACAACTACACCGCATCGCCGGGGACTCTGTTGAGCGCACGTCCTGACCGCTGTCACCGTAGAGTCTGGATGGGCCTGGCACCTAGCCTGACCCTATCGAGCCGCTCTGAGATGGATCACAGGCTGGCCGATCTATTCACCACTTTTGCACAGCGATTGATTCAGGTTTGTATCCCAGCTCTGCTGTTCTTGATCATGTCCATGAATCCAGTGCTAAGCTCCTCCACATATGCAGTCTGCAACAGGTTGAGCCTTCAAGGTTTCAGTCAACTCGTCATGCACTCCTTCCTGTGCCTTTTGATTTGTGTTCTACAAAAGCTCCTAAGCAGTGATTCTCTGGCCACAAGCCTCAGTTCCAGATTGCACCACTTTTTCAGACGCCGCAGCCCTATTTTGATCCGTTGTCGAATTGTTGGAGGTCGCAGGTACCGCATCAGCCGCCATGCATGCAGGCGTGATGCTACTGTCTCACGCCTTTTCAGATGCAATCGTGTCTTTGCGAGCCTTGTCAACACTGTAACTACTCTGGTGACTTATGTGTACCGATGGTTTCTGCCTAGAGCTGAAATTAAGCGCATCGCCCATGCGATCACGGGAAACATTTCCATGCGTGAACTGCAGGAGGCCTTGAACAAACTTGGAATGAATCAGCAGTGGCATGAGCAAGCCGCTAAAGCCCTCCTTCAGGATAGCGCTCGTAAACAGACAGCGCAAGAGTTGTTTGAAGCTGGTCTTTTGTTTGACCTTGGCAAGCTTATTCATGATACGCCCGTTTCTTCAGCTTCTCCTCCACAGTCCGGTGGTAAAGGTACCGGCAAAGGCAAAGGCAAGTCCCGGCCCTCTGCTCGCACTCCCTGGGCTGATCTCACTCCGAGACCTGCCGCCATCTTTGAAGACGGAGCCAAGAATCCGCTCTCTGTTATTTCCATTAAGGTTGCTCATGCCGCTGCCAAGGGAGTTTTCTTGGCTGGCGTTGGGGAGTTCGAGTCCTTCCTTGACATAACCAGCAATTCCCCGTTGGCCATGCTTGTGCCTCAGACTCCCAAAGTCCGCTCGATTTTGCAATCTCGTGGCGTTGCATTTGCCGAGCGCCTTGTTGCTCTTCATGACCCAAACTCCGACATCACGACTCCGAAACCAGTTTTCCTGATCACGCTTGGTGGATCTGTTGTTTTCGCCGAGGCTACACCGGATGCTCAGTTCGAGGCTCCGGTACCTACAGTTGAGGTTGCTATTGACATTGAAATCCATTGCATTGACCCCTGCATGCAGCAGGAAGTTGAAAAATATGCGCGCTACGCATTTAAGCAAATAGTGCATGCTGCCTTTTCAGAACAGATTGTCTCGGAGTGCTACTCTGTTTTTGTTCGTGCTTCGGTCCTGCAGGGCATCATCAAGATCCCAGTCTCTCAATTGATGAATGTCCTACGTCGCTCAGGCCCTGATGGCATTTTTGCTAAAGAGAAGTGGCGGGCGCAACCCGTTCAATTCCCTTTAGCCATGATTCACCAATCAAAGTTGCGCGAGAAGAGCTGGGATAATGCAGCTAATGTCGGTTGATATCCCTGCAACGCTGAAAGAGTGGGACACGGCTGGCCGCATCGTTGCTGCATGGGTACCTGTGGCTAGTGGTCACAGGTGCGTCCTTGTCATTTCGGTTCGTGGCAACGCTGGTTCGCATCCTCAGAAAATTTACCAAAATTTTATTCTTAATGAACGCTCCCTAAGCGCTATGAATAGATGTCCAGTTTCGGTGATGTCCCATGCCTCCTGTGTGGTGACCTTAATATTGACCCCACCTTAAGCCCCGCTTGTCTTGCAGCTTGTGCTTCTGGCCGATGGCATGATTTGGGTGCTGAGTCTGGCTCTGTGTGCACCTTCGAGGCTGTTCGTCATGGACATCATGCATCGTCTCGCATCGACGTTGCTGCAGTCACGCATTTTCAGGATGTTGAGCTGGACATTCCAAACCATAAGGCGCTGCAGGTGGCTTTGTCCTTACCGGACTTTTCTGCTTCGGTTCTTGTCCTTAAGCACCCTAAGCCTCTGCCCCCTACGCAGTTAAGTGCTGCACAAACTGAGCATGCAGATAGCGTGTTTGCTGCCGTCTCGGCTGAGTGGAAACAGTGCCTTGTGTCATCTCAAGTTGACGAGGCTTGGGAACTCCTCTGTCGTAAAACTTGTATTGCCTTACGTGACCATGATTCGCCGTCCAAGTCCGACACCTTCTCTCATGGGTGTGAGCCTCGCTTGCGACGGCGGCTTGCTCTTCCGCCGCAATGTTCGAGAGGAACCTGTTCCGTGAAAGTGTTACGTCTCTTCAAGCTTCAGCGAGGTGTTCAGGAGGCATTGCTGCAGAAGAGCAATCTTGGCTTTGTCCGTGAGCCATTGATGCGTGAAGTCCAGCATGGCATCCGATCGTGTGGTGTGCTGCACCCTTTGAACTTGACTGAAGTTGCCGCTTGCATTCGTAACGAGCTTCGTTGCGAACAGCAGCTTATTGAGCGCACGAGAACCAATACTTGGAAGTCTCGGCTGCAGTCCAGTTGGTCTGGTAACAAAAGGGAGGTTTTTAAGTGGCTGCGGCTCCGCACCGCTGTTCTTAGCATGCCTGAATTCCTTGTTCAGCCTAGTGGACTGTGTGCTGCCCCGCAGGTTTTACTTCAAAAGGTCATTTACAAATGGTCTGGCATTTACAATTGTCATGCCGACAACGAGCCTTCTTGGGATCTGTTCTGTGCCAAGTACCAGTCCTTTTTTAAGAGGGTTGCGGTGGAGCTGCCCACCATTGAGCCCCGTGAGTTGCGAAGGATTGCGCGTGGTGGCGGTCACAGAACCGCTGGCCTCGACAATTGGTCTCGTGAAGTGTTAAAGTGCTGGCCTGATTTTGCTCGGGCTCATCTTGCGCAATTGCTCGCTCTCATCGAGCGCACTGGGCGTTGGCCCAAAAAATTACTTCACGTTATATCATTGCCATGATCCCCAAACCTCATGGACTCGGACCTGAGGACCTGAGACCGATTTCAATTGCTTCGTTGATCTATAGGTCTTGGGCATCGCTTCGTGCAAAGCACCTGAGAAAATGGCAAACCTGTTGGGCCTCAGCTGAGATCTACGGCGGCATTGCTAACAAGCGCGTCTCTGACTTGTACCTTCGGGTCGCAGTTGAGCTTGAGCATGCCCTCTCAGGAGGATCTCCGATCGCAGTCCTTCTTCTTGATCTGTCGAAATACTTTGATCGGCTCCCATGGAGCGTTGAATTCAGCCTTTGGGTGTCCTGACCAAGTTGTTTTGCCCAAGCGTGATTTCGCTATGCGCTCTAAGCGTTGGTCTTGGTTGGATAGGCGCTGCTGTTAGCCAGCCTGTTACGGTCAGCAATGGCACGCCTCAAGGATGCCCGCTGTCAATACTGTCTGTCAATGCTCTCATGTCCATTTGGGCAGACTCGCTCCGCCAGCGTGTGCCTGAGCTTCGGGCTGGTGCCTTCATCGATGATCGATCCTTACGCACTGCTGACCCTGAATCCCTTGAAGGTGCGCTCACGATTACTGATCAGTTTGATAACGATTCGGGCTCCTCGCCAAACCGTGATAAGACTAAGTTGCTTGTCACTCATCTTCCTCTTGAGCAGGCCGTTCATGGTTTGACTCATGGGCCCTTCCGTGTCACTCTTTCGCCACGGGCCAAGCTTCTTGGTGTGTCTCTTTCTGCCAGGGCCACTGCGCTCACTGTGACGTTGCTCGTGAGCGCGCCGAGCATGCAATCGACATTGCGCGCCGCATTCAATTTGCGCCGCTTTATTTTGATGTTAGGCAGCATTGTTTAGCCTCGAAGTGCCTTTCTAAGTGGGTTTACGGGATTGAAGTTGGTGGACACCCGCTTGACAGTGAGACTTGTCTTCGTAATGCAATAAGTGAGGCGCTTAACTTTCGGCGTTCTTTTGCTTGCAGAGACGTCTTTCTCGCGTTGTGCTGCAAAGGTGATTTGGTGGATCCTCATATCAGATCCGGCCCGTATACGTGCTGGCCTGCGCACAGCAGTTCCTCAGAAGATGTGTTGATGCTCACCCTGTGTGGGTTTCTCTTTGGCATAAGCACGCAGGTGCGACTTGGAAAGGCCGCGCTGGCTTAGCTTCGCAAGTTCAGCGTGCTGCCGAAGCACTCGCTTTACACTGGGCCTCACCGTTTGAGCTTGAGTGGACCGGTGGCTCGCTCAGTCTCTTGAACGGTGATGCCTCCCACTTCCTTTCTAAGCTTTGTGACTTTGCTCGGCATGCTGTGTTGAAGAGGGCAGCCAAGCGGCCATGTCTTCGGGGTGTCGCTTCTCAAGTTGATACTCTCGCCTCGAGTGCTTTGCTCCGCTCGCCTTCCTGCAGTTCTTATGATAAAGGGGTGCTGCGCTCGATCTTGTGCAATGGTGTCCTTACGCAGCATGCCCTTCATGCGCAGGGCTCTGCCTCTTCATCGATGTGCCCTTTCTGCAAGCGGCAGCCTGAGACGTTGCTTCACTTGTGTTGGAGTTGCCCACACTGGGAAGACATTCGGTCGAGCTTCCGGCTCCCGATCCTCAGTGAAGCGCAGCAGTGGCCTGTGTGCACTCAGCTCTGTGGCATTTTCCATCTGCCCGACTGCATTGTGCATGCGCAAACCTCTCTTGAGGCTGAGACGTTTTGCCTTCCGCACGTCCCCCTTCCTGTTAGTGGGTGTAGCGTCCTCCCTGTTTGGGTTGATGGTTCTGTGTTCCAGAGGGATGACCCAAGGCTCGCCAGGGCTGGTGCTGGTGTCTTCGTCTGGGGCGGTTGTCGCCATAATCTCAAGTTTCCCATTCAGGGGCCTGTGCAGTCTGTTGAGCGTGCTGGCTTGCTGAGGCGGCTTCTGTGATTCTCGCTGCCGGGCGACCTCTATGGCTGAAGACCGATTGTCAGTACATTGTTGATGGGCTCCAGCAATGCTTGCAGGGTGTTGAGCCTTGTTTTCCTGAGCTGGACGTTGGGCGGCAGATTTTTGTGAAGATCCAGTCCATGCCTGGGAGCTTTCTTCGTGTTTCCAAGGTGCCGGGACATCCTTCGCGCAAAGACATCCTTGAGCGCAAAATTTCTTTTGAAGACTTTTAATGGCATGCGTGGCGCTCATCAGTTGGCCGTTGCCGCTGCGACATTCCGGTTGTCTCAAGAGAACATTCGTGTCTTGACGACTCATGATTCGAAAGTTCTCTTGGTGCATATAAGGCCATGGTTGCCATTTTCAACGCTCGCAATGCCGCTTCTCAGAAGCTCAAATTGTACCAAAAATGCAAGCCTTCGCGATCTTCTTCTGCGGACGCCACGAGCGCCGTTGCAAATGCTGCTGTCACTCCTGCGCAGAGTCTCAAGAAGAGAGCCGATGCTGCGGCCGCTTTGGCTGGAGCTTCGTCACGACTTGCTCATAACAGTGAAGGTCTTCCATTAACCCTCGGCAGGAAAGTATCTTAACGTTGTATATAAAGCTTGCGGCGCCTTTGCTGCCAGAGTTACCTCACGTGGCAAGACCGTTAATCTTGGGGTCTTTCCCGAAGCTGTCCTGGCCTGGCCGCTCGCGCTGTGGCTCACTTCAGGAGGACTGGAGCAGCGCCCAAGATTGATCGTGCTGCGTCTCATCGCGTGGCCACTCTTCGGGTTTTCGCCAGAAAAGTCGATGCTCATAATGCTGAAGCTAAGAATCTTGGGCGGCATGTTTTTGACTTGTGTGCTGGCTTGCTCAAGTGTAAAGATTGTCATGCGGAGTATGCTACGACTGTTTTCGCCAGCGCTTCCAAGCTTGTGTGTCCTGTACATGCCTGCGGCGCTGGGCTGAAGGTTGACAAGCGCGGCAGTGACGCGTGCTGCCAAGGTTTCGGAGGTGAAAACCAATGCTTTGATCGCTGAGCTGCGTGCTCACAACGTTTTAATGCTGCTCGAAATGGCTTGCATGTCATTGACGTGGCCTCTCTTGAGCGGCCAAGATGCGTTAATTGTGGATGCTCTGTCAACCGCAACTATGTCCGCAAGTGGTTGCGCAAGGCGTGCTCCGGCTAGCAACTGTATGCCTGCTCCCTTGCAGTGCTGGCGCTTGTGTGCGCCCTTTTCGGTTTAGTCCCCGCGCTTTCTTAGGTTTTGGTTGTTTTCTGTTAGGCGCCCCGCTGGCTCTGTGCCGGCCCTCTTTTGCGCAGAAAACCCGTGCTAGGTTGCTGCGCCGCGCCAAAGAAAGCAACTACACCACATCGCCGGTGGGCGGGCCACGCTCCGGCCTTACCTATACCTACGGTGTGATGGAACCCGCGGCCAGCTTACGCTGTTCACACTCGCCTATCCACATTGCAAGGTCTCATCAAGGTGCCTGCTACGCAGCTTACTAGCGTCTTGCAGAGAAGCGGCCCAGATGGTATCTTTGCCAAATGAGAAATGGAGAACCGGTGCTCCAACGCTCCCGCTTGCTCTCATTCACCAGTCCCATCTGCGTGAAAAGGACTTGGACAAAGCTGTTAAGGCTGCCACTGGACTTGCTGGTTTCTGCGGCATTCACCGCAGCTCCACTGGCTCCAAGAGTCTTCGTTTAAATGCTGATGGCATTGCCAATGCTCGCACGACACTGTGTCTTCCTGATCTTTACACTGCCGATAATGTCGCTGTGGTGGCAAAGGTTTTTTACCAGGCACAAGGTCTCCGCTGCGGCACCTTTGCCGCAGCTGTGACTGGGGATGGCTTACCATCCCAATCAAAAGTTGGCCTCTCGTTGCTTCCAACTGCGTTTGGCTTGTCGGCACGGCTGACGAGCCCCCTGGGGAATTCCTCAGCTTGCATGATACCACTGCAGCCATTGTGAAAGACGGTGTTCGGTCTTACTCCGCGCCTGCTGCCAGCACTTCTGTGGAAGAGGATGCCCTGCAGGTCAATGATCCTTGGGCTCGTTTCAAGCGCTCTCAGGCTGTCACCTCCTCTCCTCAGGTGTCTGTACCCAAGCCTTCACCTCCTGCCCCACCCGAGGTACAGGCTGTTGTGGAATCTCGCATAGTAGATGCTGAGACGCGCCTCACTGCTCATGTTGGCAATTTGATGCAAGCCCTTCGCCAAGAGTTTTCGCAGCAGATCAACGCGACTCGTGCTGAGTGTAGTAATGCTCCCTTAGGTGAGCAAATCCAATCTATTCGTCAGGCTTTCGACTAAGAGTGTGAGAAGTCCCGTTCCGCGCGGTCTCTGGTAGAGCAGCAGCTCCAGGAGACTGCTGCTTATGTTAAGAAAATTGAATCTGGTTTGGTTGAACAGGTGCAAGACCTTAAGCAACCGCAGAAAGGCATGGAGGACAGGCTAATTGAAGCAATCTCTGCATCTGCCAAAGCCAGCCCTGCTCGCAAAGCTCCTCGTTCTTGACTGTCCGTCCGTGCTTGCACTCACCTTGCTCATGGTGTGCCTGTTCCCATGCGCGTCACTGGTATGTGCTGCTGCTTCTCACCCTTGTCTTCAGTTACCTGTGCTTGCCCTGCGCCCAAGCCTGTGACTCGACATGCCTGTCTTCGCATTTGTAGGCTTCTGTGCAAACTCAGTTCCCGCGTGCTTTGCTTCAGGCTTGTCCTTCTAGTGCTCTGATCTTGTTTCTTTTCGCCGCCATCGGTCCAGGGTTTTCTTCAGACATCACTGCTGATGGCCCACAGCTTTAATCCTTCCCGCCAATGTGACATCTATGCGTAAGAATTTTGAGATAATACGGGGCTTTGACTCGTCATACAACTTCTTGCAGGAAACTACCTTGAATGTACATGGCCAGTCGTCTATGCGCAAAGTGTTGCATCGAACTGGCTACGATGCCCTGTTCGGTCCGCCGTGTGGGCTTAAGCTTAGTGGTAGTCAGTTTCAGTGCACTGTGTGGAATTCGAAGTCAGGAGGCTTAGCCACTGTTGCTCGGCAGCGAAGGCCATGCAAGAGCATTGTCTCCACACTCCCATTTTACACATCTGGCAAGTGTACTTTGACATGGATCCCTACTGACATCGGTGCTCGTGGGTTCTATGTCTTTAACATTTACGGGTATGTAGGTGCCGGTCCCAAAAACCCTAAGGCCCTTACCCTTAATGAAGACTTCCTTGCCGCTGTCATATCTGAAATAATTTCATTAGGTGATGGGCCAGGCTGTCGCTTCAAGTGCCCTTTGTGACCTAGGCGTGCTTTACACTGATGGACAGTGGACTTATCAGCAATCTCAATAATGTCAACATGCGCACTCGCATTGATTTGGCGCTCTGCAATCATGCTTTCTTGCCTTACGTTTCTTCCATGTCCATCCTGCGTGACACTGGCTTGCCTGGCCATTGTCCTTCGCTCTTGCAAGTCAACTTTCCGGAGTATGTGGACCGCAAACTGGTCTATCGTACTCCTTTCGCCTTCAAGGATCTTTCTCCTCCGACACTTGATCAAACCTTCAGGCTTCATGCTTTGCGCTGGCCTGCACCTCCATCCGTGACGCTCTGCAGCATGGTGAATGTTGATGCCGCTTTCAATTTGTGGACAAAGCAAGCTGAGCGTTTCTGTGCCTCTGTTGCCTCCTCACAGCACATTTGTGTTACGCGTAAGCATTTTGGTCGTGGTCAAGAGCCTAAGGTTGTTCAAACCCCGGTGCAAGCACCTCCTGCCACTCGTGAATATGGCGCTGCTGACAACCGGCTCGCGTCCATGCTGCAACGCAAGTTTTCTCAGCTGTGCACTAAACTACGTTTTCATTTTTCTGCTGGCACGTCTGCTCATGAGCAGCTCCTCAATTTATGTGCCAATGTCCAGCAAGCTTGGAATCGCTTGTATTTTAGTGAGCGCATCGGATTTGTTTCTGCCACGCCTGACTACCGAGAAGTTTGTGCCATGCATGATGCTTTCGGCAAGCGCGTCACCTCTTACCAGCAGTCTCTGCGTGATCACCACATCGATCAGCATAAATCTCGTCTCATTCAGGACTGGAATGGCAATCGCAAACTCACTTATGCGTGGGCCCCGATACCTTAACCACGCAGTTCAAGTTTGGCTCAACTGTTGTTCAATGTTGGCTCAACGTTTGGACCGATGCTGTGTGTGACGGGCCGATGCTGTGTGTGATGGCTCCTTTCTCTGTAGTCCTTACAGGAATGTCAGCACCGGCCACAGACAGCTCGGTTGTGACCGCCAGGCCTTCGCAGGCAGTCGCACGTCAGAAGTGGCTTCGCAAGCAGATGCCCAAGATGCCTACCCAGCAGCGTGCTGAGACGCCAGATGGCAGGGCAAAGTGCGCCCCCACAGGCAACTCGCCAGACCTGCAGCGCCAGCGTGCGGAGTGACTGTTTGCCTTCACGCAGGAAGTTTTGCCAGACAGCTTCGCAGCTTCACCCTTCTTTTGGTTGCCGTTGGTTCCTGTCTAACGGGGTGCGCAATCGGCGCATGCACGCCACGCATGGTAATATGAAGCCCTCCCGTCGCCTCTCGGCTACGAGGCCGGCCTCACCGGCTGTTGGCCATACCCAGCCCTGCACCACGAACCCCGTCACAGGCGCAGCAGCTAATCGATCCCACAGACGCTTTCGGTTGCTACTCTTAACTTTGGAGGGACACACACTACCCACAAGTGGACTGCCGTCCGCGCCATGCCGTATGCCATTCTGGTTTTCACGGAGACACAACTACAGACTCACATGTTTCAATCAGTCAAATACGAGTTCCCTCATCACCACTGCATTCATTCTGTCGGTTTTTTCCAAGCGTTACACCGGTGTTACGATTCTTATCAAGAAATCTTGTGCTTGGGATGTCAAGCCCGTCCAGTGGCAGCAGGAGTCTCCTTGCCAGCGCTTTTACCAGGACACTCGCCTCAATGCGGTTCAGATTTTTATTGGCGATGGCAGTTTAAGTGTTTTCATTTCGTGCATTTACACACCGAGCGGTAGTCGCTGGGAGCCTGCCAAAAGGATATGTTATCTGTTATCTGCATTGCAAGAAGACCTCGTGCAGCGTGGTTCTGTTTGTGCTCTCCTGTTAGGAGACATCAAATGCCGGTCGGCGAGGATCGCGTGCTACAGAAGTGGGCGCGTCATTGGCCACGGCGCGACTGCCATGGCCTTGCTACACCTGTTTTTCAACACGAGCCCACTTGTCATCAGGACAAAGGCTCGCGTATCGACTATGTGTTTTCGCCCCTCACTGCCTATGATTTGGCAGCGGAATACAAAGTCATTGCACACAAGTTGTTTAGCACACACTCTGCAGTGAGCGCGCAGTTAAGTGTGCCACAACCGGCACAGGTCCGTAGGACACTCAGGTCGGTAGCGACCGTTCCTCCTTTGGGTCACCTAATCCCACTGATAGGTTACTGTACCCTGAGGTTCTCTCTGCCTTTACAAGTAGCTTGCAGAATGCAGATCTTGATCAAGCTTTTTCCATATGGTCGATGCTGGCTGAGGTAACACTGCTCAGCATCGCGGCCCGTCAGGGTCACGCCGTGGACCCTTCCACCACAAAGCGCGGTGAGATCAAGTATCCACAGGTCAGAGCGCGTCCAGCTGTCTGTGGTGAGCAGGCTACGAAACTTCGTGATCGTAAGCTTTACAAAGCCATGTGTCGTGCACAAGAAGTGGTCCAAGCTGCGCCTGGTTACCGTAGGGACAGAACTTGGACGTTGCTTCGAGAGGTTCTAGACTACCTTCCTGAGGCTCACCAAACTGAAACTCGCAACTTGCTGGCTGCTCCCACCAGTGTTGCACATGCTGAAAAGGTTTTATGCCACTTGCAATCTGCCGCTGCCACTCTTGCGGCGCTTAATAAGAAGGAGCGCATTAACCAGTGGAAGAAGCGCATGCGTGCACAGTCTACTGCAAGCACTTCCTGGCTTCGTCGTCAGGTAGCGCGACCAATGGCGTCACACAGCGTGGCCAGGAAGCCACTGCAGCCACCGGCTTTAATCAAGGAGGCCTGGGACAGTATTTTCAGCGCTCATCGTTTTGGTGGGCCGTCCTTATACATGCTTTTAAACGAATGGATTCGGTCCTACACTGCGCCGTGCTGTGTGCAGTCTTCCCACGCTGAGTGGTCAGCACTTGCGATGCCGTTTGGCGAAGTGCAAGTGCACAAGCCCTGGGCCTGACGGGTGGGCTTACAGTGTTCTGCAACCCCTTGCACTTTGGGCTCCTTCTTTTTTGGATTCTCTTGCCAGCTCATTTCATACAAGTGAAGCTGTGGGCCGGTGGCCCACTACGCCACTACGCTTACTAGCGGGCAGGATTTCCCTACCCCACTTGAGCATAGGCATGCATAGGCCAATCACCGGTCTAAGCACACACTATCGCTTGTGGCACTGGCAGCCACAATGGCTGACGGACAGGACGTTAGGTCTCAAACGTGGCCCGGCCGCAGATGAGTTGGTTTTTTTCGCACTTGCTGGGAGCTTGCACAGTCCAAGCATGAGAACAAGTTGCAGGGAGGTCTCTCCTACGATTTTCAAAAGTGCTATGACTTAATGCCTTGCCGTTTGGTCGTTTATCTTTTTAGGTTCCGAGGCGCTGACACTGGTGTTTGCCGGGCGCTTGATGGTTTTTATAATGCGCATGAGAAAATTTTTCAAATTGGACGGCACGGTGAGTCGT